TTTATGGACCTCGACTCCGTCTCGGTCCATAAACACGCAAAAAAAGAACTTGGCCAATATGCAGCCATCTTGACCTCACACTTGGTCAATAAGCCATATATATTAGGCCTCCAAGACGAAAAGCCCATAGATCCCAAGGCAATGGTACTGGTTTGAAACCTTGCTTTTTCGGGAAAAAAAAATGCACTTGGTTAGCGCCGCCATGCCAATAAAATGTTCGCTGAGCATGGTGTGGATCAAAGGCCACCAAGATGGTAATGAAGATTGTTCAGACCATTTTACAGTTGTGCTTAGGTACCTGGCCTATGAATGGAAGTGAGGCTGGAGGTGACCTTGCTCTGAGGAAGACCTTTGCTTTTCTCATTTAAATGAAAATTAGTTAAGACAAGAACAGCTTAATTTTACACAACAAAAGCAGTGAGGTCTTAATCAGGTCTTAACCTCCAGCCTCCCTGCTATTCAAAGGCCACTGAACAGACAATTGTAAAATGGTCTATAGTGGAAGGTCTCATGAACTTTCATGACTTTTTTGGTGAATTTTTCCAAGATTTATGGAATTCACAAATACAATATAATAATAATAATAAATACTTTATTTATGCTGGAAAGATCTGTCCAGTGATAAATACAAATCAGACATCTTAATTAGAAAATAATAATTATTGTTTTGCAACTTTACAACCTCACAACTTTACAACAACTTTATTCGCTCTTGTACTTTACGACAATTTTATTTAACAAATAAATAAGCCTAAGCCATGTATTACAATGTGATGAAACACTCAGGACATTTGAGAACACACGAGAAATGTAGAAAACACTCACCAGTGGCTCGTGTTTTCTACATTTCTCGAGCGTTCTCAAATGTCTGGAGTGTTTCATCACAGTGTAATACACGGTTTAGGCTTCTTCATTTGCTTTGCTATTGCTATTGCACTTTATAATATAGATAGGACCCTACGCGCACTCTGATTGGTCAAAAACCTATATTTTACCAGAGTATATAACATAGAAAAAACTTGTTTTATTATTTTTTCGCCACATTATCTCTATATCATAAAGCAAATGAAGAAGCCTAAGCTGTGTATTACACTGTGATAAAACACTCCGCACATTTGAGAACACTCAAGAAATGTAGAAAACACTTGCCTGTGGCTCGTGTTTTCTTCCTTTCCCTCGTGTTCTCAAATGCCCATCGTGTTTTATCACAGTGTAATACATGGCTTAGGTGTCTTTATTTGTTAAATATATAACAATAATAATAATAATAATAATAATAATAATTATTATTATTATTATTATTATTATTTATGATATAGAGGTAATGTGGCGAAAAAAAATAACACACTTTTTCAATGTTTTATACTCTAATAAAACATAGGGTTTTGACCAATCAGAGCGTGCACAGGGTCCTATTTATATTATAAATATATATAACTAACACACACACAAACTAAAAAAAAGTACAAATATTGAGCCTGGAGGTTAAATAACTGGGAAGTTTTCGAGTTAGCCTACAGTTACATTAAGTTACTCCTGAACAAATCAAGGAGAGCAGAGCTAAATAAAATAAATAAAACAAATAAATAATAAATAAATAAATAAATAAATGTACAAAGTAGATTTTAGGACAAGGTTTGAAAGTGTTGTTCTGACAGCAAATTAAGTTTTAACAGGTAACAGGTTCCAGTATCGTCTCTCAGGGCATGACACTTAACTCTCACAGACCCAATTGGGTGCTTAATTCCATTATGCCGGTTGAAAGTCAAATGGAAAGCCAAATGGAAAGGTCTGTTTTGGTCTGGTACAGTTCATTAAAGTGGACCACCTCCAGTGGTGCTCCACTTTTATTGGTCTGACTTGTCAAACCTAAATCTTCCATTATGTTTTAACAAATTGGTTTGTTGTCCTACTTCTCTCTAGTAGATTCTCACAATGTGGGGGATTGGGAAAATGAATGGAAAATGGTTAAAGCCATTCCTTTCAGTTGAATATCATTAAAAAGAGATTAATGTCATTTGCACCTGAAAAGACTAATGTTTCATTAAGATTTGAGACCTAAAACACTTTTTTTCAGAACCTTTGATCCATAAGCTTTACAGGGATATACAGTTTTCCAAGGTTTGAAATTAAATCCTGGGAGTGAGAATTTTTGCAAAAATGTCCATATTTTGGGTGTACCCCACCTCAATCCCACTGGTCTCTAACCAGTCGGTCTAACATAATGGAAAACATCCAATGTTGTTCTCCACCCAGAAGTGTAAATGTGTACTAGTAAGCATATGCTGTCAGTAAAACCAGACTTGTAAATGGTTTTAGCTTAAAAACCTATGATGGACTAGCATCCCATCCAGGAGTAGCAATGCTCCTGTTGGCTTCATGCCAAGGAATCCAGAATAAACTCCAGCTAAGTGAGCCTGTGGTCCACGTGGAAGTTTAGCTTTAGCATTTATCCTCATGGTGTCCTTATAACACTCCAGAAACACGGAATACATCCTGGCCATATTTCCTTGTCCTTCTCGCTATGGACAAACACTTGAGGAGATCATCTCGATACTCAAACGGAATCTTTGTTACGAAAAGCTTCTGCCGCATAGTTGAACCCAGAATCCAGATTAGATCACGCATTGTGACCCAACACACACCCCGGATCCACCTGCCATAACACGTGTTCTCCATCTGCCAACTCACTGCACGCAGAATCCACTCAGGCTGATCACCATGGATACCACCTGGGAATCCCGGATGTTGTTGGAGAGATGAATAGAATGTCTCATCAGGTTTAGCAGTGTCATTTAGCCAGTCTAAAAAGTCTATCGCCACCTGGTTGTGTAGAATGTAGTTAGCTGCTTCTCTTGTAATGGCGACAAAGTTGGAGCCTTTTTGAAGGTTAATACTCCAAGGTGGTGGCTGTTTGGTCACCTCTGTTCTTATCATTATGTAGCTTCTATGAAATTCTCGGCCTTTCACTTTCATTAACTCATGAGAATACTGCATTCGGCCCCAGTTGTTTGGCGGAATAGCAAAGCTTTCGATGTTGTTAAACCCATTCAGCATTGCCAATGCATGAACAATTTCAGCATTTGTATAAAGGGGTAATTCCTGCCCTGAAATGTGCATAAAATATTTCCACTTAACTGGGCTCTCCATTAGCTCTCTTAAACAGTTGCGCTGAGCGTAAAGTGTACTAACATGGGCCCATACGAGATCAACTCGTTTACTGGTAAAGAAGACATTATCTAAGCAATCAGTCATAGCCTTCATTGCATTGCGAAAAGTATCTGACGATTTTACATCCACGTGGATACAATAGGTATTGTGAGGCATATATACAGATTGTAAAACTTTCTCTGCCAAGTTTGCAGATTTGAATAAAACCACTGCATAAGCAATGGGGAAGTTCCTCTCTTCTTGTGTGGGGGTAGGGTGTGGAAAAAGTTCCCTTCTCACTAAATCACAATCCTTTCCTTTGTATTTTGAAAACACGTCCTCATCGCTGGGTTTTTCATTGCTACATATCCTGTCTTGTAGGAGTGATGAGAGAAAACTTTCTTTAATGATCTCCTGACATTCTGACCATGTTGTTGGATCCTATGAGGAAAAATACATTAATAAGTTCCAAAAATCAAGAGGAGAGAGCTTTAAGTAAGTTATGTATACTTTCTTGACTGGTGTATTGCTTCCACTATGCACAGAAAAACAAAGGTGGATGACCCAATGGGCCAACAGCCTACAATCAAACTTCTTTATATTCCACAAAAATGGTCCAATCTTGCCAAAGTTGCCTCAAAGCAACCTTCAAAAACTCTTCTTCCTATTTGCTTCTCCTTAAGTTCCAAAGTTTATCTTAACTGCTTGAGAAACACTGGTTTTTGAGCTTGAGGTTTCCACATCTACTTTCTCTCAATCCGTAACCAGATGTCTTGGCTACAAGATTTAAGATTCTAGCTCGGCGACCATGCCATATTTGTGACAAAGTTGGCCCCAGTCATGTGGAAGGTGGAAAAGTTCTATCAAACAATTGGGCTAATTGATGACAACTACCTGTAACTCTTCAGTCTGTGAAGACCCTTCTTGGTAAAAAAAACATTGCAATTTCCTCGAAAAATGGTTCATGCATTATTAGCTTTTAAATGAACATATTCCCATCATTTAATGCACCAAAAGTTCTTTTTGAAAATTGTCAAAGGACAGTTTGTAACATTACAGTCTTAAAAAGAAATCAAATCTAGTGATATTCTTATTTATAATCCATCCAATATTGTTGCTCACACGCAATTGGTCTAAATGTGTCACATGACCGAATAT